GTGGTCAGTGGTCGGTTTTCTGCTACTAATTCTACCAATTGCTCATCTTGGTCACCAGTAAATTTAATTTCTGCCATTATTTTACTCAACAACACACGTGCTGCCTGAGCCCGTCGCGAGACACTACTGGTCCGAGAGCGGTCTCTGTCGCCTGTCTCTGTCTTTGTCTCGCGCTCGTAATTGTACTTCATACGATTGTACAGAGAGCAGACAGGAAGCGACCAGTCTCGGTCTCGCAATTCTGTCGCCTGCCTCGGTCGCTTGTCTCTGTCGCATGCAGCCAAATTGTACCTTTAGGGTAAGCGCTCGTAAGGAAGAGATTCAACACTGCAATGAAGTTACGACTGTCTTACGAGCTTAAAGCCTTAAACATACGACGTACGTTGGCTTTGTGAGCCTCCAGTGCAATTTATTTAAATGAAGAACGACTGTGTACATATTCCGAGACGCTGAAGAATTAACCACGAAATTCTGTGCCCGAAGTAAAATGAGGTTTTGCTCCATCAGCAAATATTTCTCGAAACTGATTGTTTCCATCTGCAAAACTATGCTGCCAGGTATTGTTTATTAATAATTACACAACTTTGTTTTGTATTTGTATGCATAGTTTCCTATACTCTCACCATGTCTCTAGTTTCCAAAATACAAAACAATTTTCATACAGAAACTTATAAGTATAATAGTACAGTGACTAGCTACGGACTGGACAACCGGGGTTCGATCCCCGACGGGGACAGAGGATTTTTTTTCCTCTGTCCTCTGCGTCCAGACCGGCTCTGGGGCCCACCCAGTCTTCTATCCAATGGGTACCGGGTTCCTTTCTCGGGAGTACAGCGTGGCCGGGATGTGATGCTGACCATTTAACCCCCCCCCCTCAAGCGCCTATATGGCGTGTAGGGGGACAGCTGTACTTTACTTTTACATTAGATGTCTCGATAAAAAAAATTATATATTTGGTCACAATGGCTTATTTTTCGGAGGTGTCTTGTTCTTGAAGTGTTCATCTGTGAGTAGCGAGTGACCAGCGCACTGCCTCTGCACAATTTCAATCCTGATTTTGACTGCTAGAGCCATCTGTTAGAGAATCAGGAGAGACTTGGGTGCTTAAATAACGCTGTCGTCACTCCTACCTGGCTGAAATTGTTTTTAGTAACGAAACAAACATTAGGAATACGATGTTGCCTCCATTTTAGATCCAATTTTCACGAATATCCGTCGACTGCCTTAACAGATGACGTAAACACACAAACCCCGGCTACTTTCGTAATGAACTCGAAGAATTAAGCGAAAGGTCATTGATATTTGCTTCACACACAAAATAATGCTAGGTTTTGATGTCGGTAGTGATACTAAGGTAAACTGAACTCTGTTTTATTTCGAGAATCGATTATATTGGACTGAAGATGACTGTCTCCTTCTTAGTTTATTTAATAACGATGCTCTAACTGATAAATTTATAGATATCGAACGACAAACTGAATAATCATTATAAATAGAGAACATGGAAGGATGATGATACTGTCATCGACATCAGGACTTTCCGCTCTGAAGACGAAGGATTCCCTCGCATTAAGCACCAGACTGGTAGTGGACAATGAGTGCCTGCAACAAATAAGTAAGACATTCAAGTCCCATCAGGCAAACGCCGGTTTAACTGGGTCATCTGACGAGCTATAATTAAACTTGTTCACAATGTTTTCTTTATTTTTATTTAGTGCTCTGTCTGACGACAGGTCCATATGAACAGGATCATTCCATCCTTTTCTCGGACTGGGACCTGTTCATATGCGTTCTTGGCAGATGATCCAGAAGTGGTTTGCCATTGCCTTCTTCTGTGTGTGAATGGAGTAATTGTTGGGATGCCACGGAGAAACCGGGGAAGCCCCCGGAGGAAAACTCCGTGTTGCCTAGACCACGGCCTTGCCCAACACAAGTTATAAATTCGGGCACCGCCGGGAATCGAACCCGAGACCCCATTTTTGCCAACTAGATCACATTATTCACATCTTAATTTAACTTATTTACTTTTATTTTATTTAACGAAATACTCTCCTGGTATTTTCCTGGAAGGGCTGTGGAAAACGACGAATACCCCTCAGTCAGGATAGCTCGTGTCCGCTCCGATATTTGAACCCGTTTCACAGTTTCCAGACAGTATGGAGTACGAAATTATTTTTCGTTATATTTCGTTAAACATTCACGATGTCGATAAATGCATCAATATAAAAGTTTTTCTCCCCAAAGAACTGCTCAAGTTACGCCTTTAATTTTATGTGCGATGAGCTGTTTCTGCATTGAATTTTACCAAAATTTAAACTGCTATACCGAACCAATACGTATGAAAATTAAATTCAGTCTGTACCAAATTTTGCCTTAATCCTTCCTGTAGACTTCGTATTGAAATGTTAAATCCTTTTACATTCGGCATCGCGATGAACTGATCCCCTATCTAAGGTTACTAGTTGCCCGTCATGATAAAAGCAGGCGAAAAGCGAAAGACGATGGAGTGTTCATCACCGCACATGGGCTTCAAATGTCATGAAAGAAAACACTCGATGTTTTAGTTGAACTTACCCAGCCATGTGCCCGGAATAGACGCCAACTATGTGTATAGTTATCTGATCAGGAAGATATTCAAACGTCGCCTTGACGTTCACGGTTTCCTGCTGGTCTCCCAAGTTGATCACGACGACGTACGTGTCCTCAGACTCCAACGTCCTGGAAAGAACTGCATTATAACTTGACCTATTCATTACATACAATTATTATTTGTTACGACAGTTCACAACTATTTTAAATTTTCCACATTTCAAAAGGATTTCTTAGGTGTACTTACAACAATTTTAGCCTGAATTCTGTTAAAAGGACGTGAACATAATTTTCTACGTGGACCATCTATCTTCCTAGAGTCTGATAAGGCCTCTGCGTATTTTATTTCTGAAATTTAACCATGTTTTCATCCAGAAAACTAATATCAACACAGACCAGGGGCTGATGTGTGCTGTTCAATTTCCTTCAAAACTTTTAATGGCGTATAAATAAAAATTAAAAATAAATGGTAATAAAGCATCTCCATGTTTCAGATCATCCTGAATAGGAAATACGCCACATATAAATTGTCAATGCGGACATTAAAATGGGTTTTATTTGAAAGTCTCAGTAGCCAAGCCCAATTTGCTTCATCGCTAAACAGAATTAAATTAGAGTGTTATACGTTCAGTACTTTACTAGTAACTGAGGTATGGTTTTTTTTTTTTAGTTTTAAAAAATAAGATGATATACTGTCCCATCGCGGTCCAATTTATTCAAGTATGTGACATGTTGATATATTATCAAAATTATTGTTAAAGAATTGAATTATCGTCGTTATAAGACCGGCGTATTATCACACGAAATATGATTTCTCACATTGGGTCAGATACACCCTATTGTCTTACATGACAGAAACAAATGGATGCATCTATCCGAATATGATCGCAGTGCCACTGATAGGTAATGAAGAATAATGGCACAATCTATAAGTATCTTGCGCAAAATAAGCAGATTTCAGACATGTGACATCGAGACGCATTCAACCAATAACATTTGTCCAAACGAAAGTGTCCAGTTATGATATATACAGCATGTCCCGAAAGAAAATACAAAATGGTGACCGCTTGTCATCAGTTGCTCGCCGCTGTCAACTGTGGCCATTTTGGACACCCACACTAGATTAGCCAATTCAAAGAGTGCCAATTCTGGCGTATGTAATGGCTTATTCCATTAAAATGTCTTTGTACCATTCACTGAACGTGCGTATACATCTGTTTGGGGCACCCTGTATTACCATGCAAATGTCAATTTAAATGTTACCAACAACCGCTAACATTAAATCCTGCTGTTCAGCAGATTCCAAGCCACCTCAACCTCACATATTCACAAACCTTTCCCCTGTCCAATTTCCTTCTTGGTCTTCCAAATAGACGTCTTCCTCAAAACTTTTCCATCAAAATCCTGTATAACCTCCACCCCGTCCCAGGTCACATGAAAAGTCCATCAAAGTCTTCAACATTTCACTACGCTAAGGGCAGTAACGAGACCAGATTTGTTTTCGAGACAAGAACGTTTTGTAAATACGTGCCTGGTAAAAGCCAGAACATTCTCTGAAAGAGCCGCAACCTGGCAGCCTCCGAGTTGGATGGTTCGAGTCTTTCGCAGTTCGGTGATCTGCTTGTACACCTTGTAGTGGCTCTTCGCTGCGGTTTTCTGGACCTCCAAATTCAGTTCCTTGTAGTTTTCGTTCACAGGCAGCCACGTTGTCTCGTTGCTGGAGAAACCTTGAAGACGACGATAAGCAATGAACATTCACATATTAAAACGTAACATCAGTAGCTTTGTCATTTTGTAGTCCGCTGACGTTCCGGTTATAACGAAGTTTCATTTTTGCTGTCCTTCCCTTGTACCCACTCCATGTCTTTTCTCTTTCGTTTGTCTTCTTTCACTTTGTTTCTACGTCACCGCAATCATTGGTCTTCCCAAAGTTCGTTTATTCACCATCTTCAATTTTTAAACTTTCAGCGGATTCCCCAATTCAAAAATGAGTGACACGTGTCGACATCACAGAATCGTCATTTGACCTAAGTTGCGTAATGTTTCCGTAGTTATCATCGAAAGTTAGGTTAGGTTAGGTTAGGTTAGGTTAGGTTAGGTTAAGTTAGGTTAGGTTAGGTCAGGTTAGGTCAGGTTAGGTTAGGTAAGGTTAGGTTATGTGAGGTTAGGTAAGGTTAGATTAGGTTAGATTAGGTTAGGTTAGGTTAGATTAGGTTAGGTTATGTGAGGTTAGGTAAGGTTAGATTAGGTTAGATTAGGTTAGGTTAGGTTAGTTTAGGTTAGGTTAGGTTAGGTTAGGTTATATATTGAGCAGGTGACTTGTCCTGTTTGTAATGAAGAAGGAGGCTGAAGCCACACAAGATGTGAGGAAACTATAAGTTGAAGAGGAAAGCTTGTAGACAAGAAGATTTAATAGCATCAAGACAGAAATTGAAATCATAAAGACATCTACAACTAAAATAATGAGAAATTAAAAAAAGTTGGGTTATAGTTAAGCAAATACGAAGAGATATGATAAAGGACAGTGAGGAAGCGTGAGGATGAATAAATAATCAAATATGGGATAGCAAAGATAAGAGAAATGTTAAATTAAAAGCGAAAAAAGTAACGCTGTCCCACTACACGCCGTGTAGGCGTTTCGGGGGAGAGGTGGTTTAGCTCGTACTCATTCTCAACCTCGGCACTAGATGGGGGTGAGTGGTCAGCATCACGCCCCGGGGAAAGGACCCCGGTACCCATTGGATAGGAGGCTGGGTGCTGACAATACTAGTTACCTGCGCTAGTGCTGTTGTCCCACTGGAAGGGCGTCCTCTCTAGGTCACGTGTAGCCTCCAGGTAGTGATCAGGGCCCGCGTTTATGCCCTGAGGATCCTGGCACTGCTCCCACGTGATTAACGTGTTCTCCATTCCTATTTCTTCGCCGTTGTACGTGACGCCGATGCCCGGCAACAGATGTGCCAGGAAGTTCAGTCCATCGACAAGTTCCCGGCTAAACCGACTCGCCACTCGATGCTGATCGTGGTTGCCCAGCTGCAAGGCGCAAAGGCGATGTCTCTTTATTGTCATTTTCCTTCGCCATGTTTGTACATCCACTACCCGCTACTTAACCCTCCAGCGCTCGCGTCCACCTTTGGAACGTCCAGACTCGCGTGTGAGCGCCGCGCCGCAACCCATCAATTGAGCAAATACTTAATCAGACTATTACTGACTTTTAATTTATTTATGGAGTTACGATTAAGAGACTAATAAAATGTTAAACCATTGTATAAAAGTCCAATTGAAGCTTCAATTTCATCGATTGAAGTTTCTAAGCAGTCTCTTTGCCTGGAATAATTTTCTCTAATTTTTTCCAGTTTTTTATTTCTGAATTTTGGGATATCACCCAATAAATTATCTGGAAAAAATAGCTGCCAGCACTCGATCTCGGTTTTTCAGTTTTTTGCGTATCCTTTGACCCCAGGAAAGTGAGAGATAAAGTTTTTCATTGGCGCCTTTTTACTTCTTCATAGGGGAAATTTTCGAAATTTATTCATTTTATCTTTGCCAAGATAAAGATCACTTATTCCTGC